TACATACATACATACATACATACATACATACATACATAAATACATACATACATACATACATATACATACATACATACATACATATACATACATACACATACATACATACATACATACATACATACATACATACATAAAGCAAGCGAAGGATGCTTAGCGTGCCTCTTTGTAACCATCCATATAAAATGGACCGCGTGTATCATAGTGATTACGCGAAAAACTAAACACTCTATGGACAGAGTGTGTTGCTTTTCTCGTCTACAGCCGCTGGACATTGCGTTTTCGTGACTGGTATCCGCAAGAAAGAAAACGATCGTTCAGGCGAATTGAAGAGGTGGCGTACATGCATCGGACTAGTGATGGGCACTAAGTGAAGATATACACTTCATGATTGAGAAGGGCTAATGCGCCCAGCTTTAGGTTATTCCAGTAACATCCTAGCATGAGATACCCACACTGACTGCCCAATTGGTCTTCGTATTCTTGGTATATGCTATACAGGTCACTAGCCTAAAAGCTTATTAAACAGTATTGTCTTGCACAGACACCGAGTATGTAACCAAGCGGTGATTCTCTTGTACATTAATTAATAAAGAAGGTTCAATAAGTCATATACTTACACTGTACTTACAACGGCTGCTGCTGCTGTTGCTGCTGCCGCTGCTGCTGTGGTCGGCGTTTCCATATTCATAAGATTGCCACGAGGACTTCCTAACATGAACGACTCAGGCAGAACAAAATGCCGGTGATGTATCTGGCTGATTTTACGCAACAAACTGCGACCTTCCTCTTTAGTCTAAACAAAATCGAATTTTACTAAAATTCCAATCAAATATTTAAAAATAGCGGAACTTACCACGATAACTGGTGCGATCATGCGCTTTGCGCAATTTCGCCCAGCGGACGTTCCTTTTTGGGAACTTCCTCTAGTAAAGGAGAACCTAAATTTCCCCTTGTAACATAAATAAAACCCAGAATAAAGAATTCATTTTAGAAAATTTTAGTTAAGAAAAGTAAAAAAACAAAAGGAAAAAAAATAGAAGATAAATCAAATATCTCTCGGGATCTGTTCTCAGATCCCAAGTTCTGACGTCTCGGCTGAAATGCTTTTTTCCCACGGACAAAATACTCAGATGGCCATCACCCAAATACCGGAGATCCCAGGTACTGGCACTACTGTTATCCCTTATTATTGTCACTCCTCTCACCGCTACCACTGTCATTAGCAATTACAGCTACCAGAGAATCATTTCAGAGAAAAGTCTGATGTATTTCATCAAAACTTATATTTAACAAATGCATGAAAAAATGAAAAGTTTCATTGCTGTATTACTACTACTCACCGAATCATATTCCAAGCAACGCTGTGCAAATGGGCTGGCTGTGTTCAGATCACCTTTCTTCATGTAATAATTCGCAAGAAAAGAACAGCATGTTGCAACATTGTCGTTGTCATCCATCTTTAAAATGCAAATCTTTGTGTATATACGCAAACAAAACATTGTATAGAGGAAGGGCAAAGAGGGGGGAGGGGAGGGAAATGAGGCAAAAAATGCATAAGGAAAAGAAGTGGCAGCGGAAGATGGAAGACGAAAATTCGCATCTCCGATGCTACAGATTCATCTAGCTTTTCTGAAAACTAATCAAATTCATAGCTGCTTATCGTTACGGTAAAAAGAAGAATTAAATTCACTGTGAGTTAAACTATCTCTAAAGATCTCGTTTTTCCAGCCACCAAACTTCCAAGAATTTTTTTTTCCTGTGGATAGTTCTCCAAACGATATGCACTCTATTAATGTGCCTTCAAAGCGTGTCACCACAGAATACTCGTCAGAATTAAATGAAGCAAACGTGAAAAATGCATGAAGTCAACAGTCGAGACCCTTTCGCATGGGAGGTGGAAGATTCCCAAAGCAGCCCAAGTGGTACATCAACAGCAACTAAACTAATAGGCAAGACGGGCAATAATTACCTCTTTCAGATGCCGTTTATAAGCAAGATAACTGGTAGATAAGATACGCAATTGTAAGAATGAAAAAATCAAAGCTTAAAAAAAAAGGAATATCCACGAATTCCCAGACAAAGGAATACCCACAAATTTCCTTTATAAGAAAAT